CTCTGCTGGAGGTGGACTGCGGCACAGGAGGGGCAGGAGGAAGACGCTGCTACACCACAGACTCCCTGACCCCCTACAGAAAGCCCTCCACTCTGGTTCATGGAGCAGTTCAGAACTGGGAAGGGTTACAAACAGCTATGCTGTGGTATCACCTGCCTTGTGATAGAGGGAGCATCCTTACGTGTTCACACAGTAAAAGTGTCTTTTTTGAATCAAACATGCGCTACAAAGCGAATCAATACTGCACTGCGCTAGCAATGACAGAGAGCTTCTGACTCACAAATGACTCTCCTTGTTTAAAGAATGAAGTAGTAAAATGGTTCTCCTAATAGATTAAAAACAATTCAGCAGCTTAGTTAATTATTGCCATGAATGATACTGTTTCTGTTCAAAATCAGTGCTATAGAATTTACTGTCTTACATCACATCATGATACATGATCCAAACTTCTTTAATCTACCTTATTTAATTATAGAGTTTAACCCCTAAAACAAAAAAAGGAAAAAAAATCAGCTTTAGTATATTGCTATTTTCCTGTTGACTTAAGTCACAGATGATAAATGGCAACATAAAGAAAAAAAGGCATAGGAGACTAATTAGTCATTAACAGCACTTTGGTAAAATCAGGCACTGTTCTTCTGTATTACGGCCAGTCACTAAGGTAGTATTTGGAGTAAGAAATAAATCAGAAGGCAACTTGTCAAAACTTAATTAGACAATTGTCGAAGTTAAAGCAGAAACCAGAAGCAGATCTGACTAAGCAATATACTTTTGGTGCCAGCCTTCCAGATTAGTGGTTGCAAAACGTGCGGCAGTGTAGAGCATGGACTCAAGTTCTTAAGTTAAACTTCTCGCTTTCATGGAAGTCTTGATTTACTGACGTCAGTTGCTTTGGAAAGACTGCCACTCCACTGGCCCAGGACCAATGCTAGAAGTGTCGGAATGTACTTGGTTTTACTTTCGTTGTTTATTTCCATAGCTTGAAACAAAAAATCTTTCACTCTCTTTGCAAGCTACAGCTCTTGAGGTTCATTTTAAGATGTCTTTCTTTCTCTTTCACAGTCCTCAGATGCAAAGGGATCCCTAACCTATTAAAAATTTTTATATTTGCAAATCATCTTTACAAAAATGCAGTCATACTGGCAGGCTTTGCAATCCATGAGCAAGCAAAAACCCTTTCAAGACGTACCTTTTTCCTCTATTCTTGTTCTCATTCTGCCTCCCCCATACTTTAAGACTGCAAGAGCTGGGCCTGTTCAGCCTGGAGAAGAGAAGATTGAGAGGGGATCTCGTCAGTGTGTACAAGTATCTGAAGGGGGAGTGTCAAGAGGATGAGGCCAGCCTCTTCTCCGTGGTGCCCAGCGACAGGACAAGAGGCAACGGGCACAAACTGAACCACAGGAAGTTCCATCTGAACCTGAGAAACAACTTCTTCACTGTGAGGGTGACAGAGCATTGGAACAGGTTGCCCAGAGAGGTGGTGGAGTCTCCTTCGCTGGAGATATTCAAAAGCCGTCTGGATGTGATCCTGGGCAATCTGCTCTAGAGGACCCTGCTTGAGCAGGGAGGTTGGACTAGATGATCTCCAGAGGTCCCTTCCAACCTAAACCATTCTGTGATTCTGTGATTCTGTGATACCCTCTTCTTGTATAGTGGAAGGGCCCCTTCCAGGCTTTCTCAGGCAGGAGAACGAGAAGACTCAACATAGCATGAGAACGAGAGAAGAAGCCAATAGCAGGTAACACTGAGCATCGATGAGGAGCCCTACGGATGTTTCAAGTATTTGGAAAAGGTAGATTCCCAAAAGCATTTACCATTTTTGTGAGCTCAAGTTGTGACATTATTGAATGGCCTATTTTTACACAACAGACTCTGTTCTCTGTATTGTAGTGAAATTTGTTGAAGACAACTACAACTTCGCAATGTAATGCTACATGAGGTACCTCATGTCTGTTGAGAATTCAACTATATTCGCATTTCACTATTCAACGTTACACTGTTTCTGTTTCAGGCAGAGCGGAGAGACGTGATGCTATAAGACTGCTTTTGTGCAAGTTCCAATCTAAAAAATAAAGTACCTTACACAGAAAAAACTGTAATTACCGAGTGAGAGAAGGGGGTGGGGGTAGCTTTCTCGACAGCTGCAAACAACACTATTGAAACAAAACCCTCAAAACTCAAGAGAGTAAGATTGAAAATAAAAAAGTTTCCACAATAGAAAAAAGAATCAAATGGCATTTTAGCGACTGTTTTGTCATAGATCTCAGTGCTATATCTGAAAAACAGACATTATCTCATTTACAGATCTCCTTTGTTTCTTTGACTACAGTGTTAGAAGCAATTACTTCATATACTGCATTCTACAACCATGTATTTAATTGTTATCAGAGTTGCCTGGAAATAGACACATATGTGTATAAATATCTATGTTTATATACAATGCGTATGAATGTTCAATAACAGAGATATTCAAAATGTACATTTTGTGATAGCAATACACCTAAAAAATCTCCAGACGGATTAAATAATTCCCTCATGTCATGCTACAGGAATTATAGAGAAGGAATATACAATTCAGGCTACTTACGCAAAACAAGCTTTGAGAGTGAGGTTTGGGAAATAATGAACTGAAAATGTGCTAATCTATTGATAAGAAGGAGTTATGGTCTATCCTGGAATACTTTCCTCACACAACCAAAAAGAATGGGCTGTAGCATGCAGTTCTGCCAGAAGGCGGACTCATACTGTCCATAGCACACACAGCAGCTTAAGACATTGAGTGAAAAGAGTATAATTCAAGCATCACATCTACTATAAAGTAGATAATTTTTCTTTTAGTATGGTACCCATATCATCTGGTAACATCCACATGAAAATAAGATGAACTGCAAGGTCCTATGAAATTTTATGTTGTGCAGAGAGACTGCCAAACAAATTGAGAAGTATGCAGCCAAAAACAAATAAAAAGGAAATAAAAAGGAAACTTGATCACAGTCAGTGATCACCACAGAGAATTGAGAAAGGAAGGCTTTAAGAATTTATGTTTTGTGAGAGCAAAATATCTGGGGCTAAAATAGATGCGTGACTAACCAGAGCAAAGGAATCCAAGACTTTGGCTAGTATCCAGGAATTAGTTGCATAAAACTAAAGGGAAGTTCTGAGAGCATATGAGCTCACATAAAATTAAGGCATGGAGTGAGAGAATAATAGGAGAAATGGAGAAAAAGGAGGATAAGGCAGTATCAGACTGTGAAGAATGGCAGTTTCCTGAATTACTCCTGCCAGATTTACAAAATCATGTCAGCCTACCCCATAATGTAAAGTATCTCAAGCAGCCATTGAAGCCATCAAGCCATTGCAGTCAGCTTGGCCAGGCGGTATTAAGCTGATCTACACTTCACTTAGTCATTTAAACGCTTTGCACAGCTTTAACTAGATCACATACATGCCACAGGTCTTACCAGCTAGACAACGCTGACTGACATTCAGACCTTCAACTTGTTATTTTCTGTGTTGAATACTAAAGATTTTAAAATCCCTTTTTTAGGCAGCCCAGCCTGAATTTTCAGAAGTGCATAGTCAGTTTATGCACCAGGGCCCTCAGTAAAAAAAATTGTATTTTCAGGAGATTTTCAGAAGTACTTAGGCTTTGTCTATACTGGTAAACGCTATATGCAAGAGGAGTGCTGGTGCTGTGTAACCAAAGTCCAACGACCCAAGTTTCATCACTGCAGACTTATTTCAGACTAGAGCTTGTCTTGTCCCATGGGCTAAATGATCATGAGTGGTCAGAGTACATTAGATGTGTTCTCAGCTGCATCCTTCAGTTTGTTTTCATTTGACAGTCTGGGTTCTGTGCTCTGAGACTGCTCTGAGATGCAAACTGAAACCCAGTAAGAGAGGATGACAGGGACCTTTGCTTCCAAGGAGCACCTCTGGTCCCAGCTCATACACTACTACAGACGTGCACTTGGGCACCTAACTTTCAGGACATAAGTATCCTAAATTAAGACTTGTTTCCTAAGTCTCTAAATAACCTTACCATTTAGTTAGTTAGTTTATGGTAGCTATAGGAAGCTTTGCTACAGATCCTCTTTGAAAAAGCCACTTGGAACTTGACCATCCTCAATGTTCATCCATCCCATTACACTTACCGTCATTTTAGCTGTGTAGTGATATCAGCAAGATCAGTTAGTAGTATCAAATCATAGTAGTAGCGTGTCGACCAGTATACTCTCTAACACAACAGTGCTGCAAACTTAAAAAATCAGAGAAAGAAGTTTTCAATTACTAAATTCTAGAAAACCTGCATGTTCCACACATTTTTATTTTATTTGAGTGGTTAATCTTGAAAGAGAATGTAATTTTAGCAGATAAATTTATCATCTCTAAACAACAAACAGAACCTCCAAAAATTAAATACTTATCTGGAATAAATTTCTGTAGTGAACAAAACAAGGCAAATATAAGTGACTGGAAGATATCACCTTCAATCCTTTAATATTTTTATCCTAATCTAGAATATATGTCTTCAAATGACTCCTTAATTGGTTCAAATAATGCTTACCGGTCTTAATGAACAATGCTTGTACAAAGAGCATAGCTAAAAATCATGCAGAATCTATTAGAATAAAACATGAGTTTGGATCAGTATTCATTTAAAAGTACATATTTTCCAGATACAGAAAATCTATCCTTTTTAAAAGAGCCTTAGAACCGTTATACTAATAGTCACACCATTATTTTATTTTCTTGTATGTTAAATCTATGTTAGCATCTTCTGTGAGGAATAATTTGAAGGCAATCAGTTCAGCTTTCTCAATAAAATACACATTTCACTTCTTTCTAAAAGTAAGAGTAGATATGAAAGAAACTCAGAAAGATTGTAACAGATCCTCTGTCCTGAGGACCAGAGGGCCTAAGTTTATTGAAAGAGCCAAAAGCGAGTTACACACCACAAAGAAAAAGCTCAAATCTGTTCCCAGGTTGCACCTATTAAATCATAATGACATTTCTTGTTTGAAGTTGTGCCCATTCAGGAGTGTCATGCTAGTCACTGTGTTCCTGTTATTGCTTTTCAGGGAAGTCATTTGAATGGCAGAAGAGTTGCGCAAGTAACTGGCAGATCTCTGTTGCTGAGATTTCCTCCCGCAGCAAAGCTGGCTGTTGAAATGTCTTCTAAAACTCTCACTGAGCAAATAGAGTGCAAATGGGTTGACACAAGAGTTGCAGAAGCTTAGGACTCGGGCCACTAGGGTGATGACCATATGTCCTATCGACGAATCAATCTCATTGTGATTAAAGGATCGGTACATGTATAGCACATGGTTAGGAAACCAACAGATAGCAAAGAAGCCAACAAAAACGAGAACTATTTTTGCCAGACGTTTACGAGTTTCCATCTAAAAAGATGAAGAAAACCCAAATGAATAACAATGAATAGAACTAATTCACATAACAGACTTAATTAAAACATGTAGCATTTCAATGTACATTAGCCCTAAGAATGATCTTAGATAAGACCATTAAAATTACTTCCTTCTGGGACTGAATTACTTTTTCTATCTCACTTACTTTCATTTCCCAGTTTTAGTTTACTTACAGTGAAAGACCCTAGCTGTTTGCAGTTACAGAAGGTTGCTCTTTCTCTGTAATATACAAATAAGTGTAGCAAGAGCGATTCATGTTCCAGGTATACATTGGCTTTTAGCCTGAAGGAACGCGCCAAAGGATGCCATGAAATATAAACGCTTCTAATGGAATCTCAGTGCTTGGCTTGAAACTTGGCCTTAGTTAGAAAGTTATTTAGAAACTGAGGGCTTTGTGATATAGAGACATTTTTAGTCTGACACCTAGAGTGTTAGCCATAAGGTGGTACTTAGATCTCATTTTGCCTGAAATGCCTCATCTTGCACCTCTCTCCTAGGAAAACTATCAGACAGGTATATTGCAAAGCCTGGGGCGTCTTAATTCCATGGTAAGGTAAAAGGCTTGGTCAAGCATTAACAATGAGATGAAAGAAATGTGCCTTCATTGCATTGCTAAAGTATAATTGGATTACAGTGTAGATATTTGGAGTGACTGAAGTGTTGAGAGGAAATCGCTTGCCGTCGATTTTAAACTCAAAAAATCAGCAGGGTTTCAAAATCTGTGAAATAAATTTAAGGAAATATAGTTTTCTCAGCTCCATTTAAACCAGAACCAGTGGGTTTCAGAAAATATGGGGAAATTGGATATAAACTCTAGAATTCTAATTTGGTAGGATTGCACTGGGCCAGATTGCAAAGGCAGACTAAAAGGTATGGTGTGAATATTACAGTTCCATGCTATTGCCTAAGGAAACTTAAGTCAATAGCAATAATCTGAATTTGCTTCCTCTTGCTGGGAGATTCTTCTACCCTTCCGAGTCTCATAGATTAGCCAAAAAAGTTAAGTAAAATGAAAAAATGTGTTCTTATTTTGAAAATACATGTGGTTTCACAAATGTAACATAAATTAAACATTGTTTCCATCCTGAGAGTTCAGCCAAAAGACTCCCTGTATTTCACAGGAAGATAAAATAGTCCATGAAGTGCTAATATATATATATTTTTGACAAGAAACAGGCTAGAGTGGAAATGAAATGCCGAGTAAAAAGGACACAGGGGAATGTAGCCGTTCTTTTAAAAGAGTGTGTACAGTCTATATATGCAAAGAGGTTTCACTGAGTGTTAAGGTGTTTTGTAAAACTTTGGCAGAGAAAACCCTTCCAAATTGTTTTAATGGGCATAAGGCTTTTTTCTCTATCAATATTAATGTTTCTGTAAAGTGGCTGAGACACTTTCACTACGAAAGCTTTTGTCTGTAAATAAATGTTTCTATTAACAGCCTGCTGCTCTCTTATGGCTTGATGTGCCTTATATTGGAGCTGCTTCCTAAAATGTTTTTGTCAAAGGTATGCAGAATCTAAACTGAGAGATCTATGGCATCTATAATAAAAAGGGCATTAAGAAAACTGTAATTGAGTTCAGGATTGTATCCAAGAAAGGTCTACTCAGAAAGCCACAAAAAAATCTACTCATGCTCAGTGTTCATATTTCCAGCACTCCTTGGTCTGAGAAGAACCTCCAGTCACGTAAGAAGATTTTTTCTTGCCTGTCAGTCTTTCCATTTCCAAGCACAGATATAATAGGGAGAATTCTCAAAAAGTTCATGTAAGATTTCTTCCCAAAAGGACTGCATATAGAGAGAGCCATCAGGAGTTACCACAAAAAATGTTTTTCCTTGGTAAGAACACAAGTGCTGGTTACATTAGCATATACAAACATATATACCAATCCCACTTCCCATTTTCTGTAGGAATATTCATTAATATTGAATTTAAAATTTTTCCTTGCTCATATTAATTTACATACTGGGTTTAATACTTGAATAATAGTGAAAACAGTGTAGATTTTTCAGATAATCCTAGGCTTAGCTGATGCACGGGGAAAATCTGAACTAATCCTCTGAGAAATCCGACAATTAGGATTTTATAGTTTTCATACTTTCATTTCTAAGTGTACACAGTATACAAATCTTCACCAGGAAGTAAAAAGCAAATTGCTTACCTGTCTTTTGGAATGTTCACTGTATTCTCCAGGGATGTTGTGAGCACTTTTTATTAAAGTCTTTGCAATATGATAGTAGTAGATACTAATAATGGAAAGAGGGATAAGGAAATACACTAAGAAAATCAGCACAGAATGGATCTTTGGGTGTATGTCATTCGTCATGGGGTATGGTATGCATGCTGTGAAAGTGGCATTGTCCCTGTCATAGATGTGGGCCAGTTCGGAGAAGACTGCTTCAGGAACTGCCAGGAGCATGGAGATTATCCAAATGGCAACGGCTTTAACACAGGTCCATAGCACTGCACTAGATGTTTGGATGTCCATGGGATTTACAATTGCTTTGTACCTGAAATTGATGAAAATACAATATTGATAAATTGAAAGGTATCATCTCAAACTCAACATGTGATGCTGAAGGCCACTTCATACTTTTGAGCAGGGCTTTGGTTGGGCTTGGTTGGGCTTTGTGTAGGTCAAGGCCACTTTCTTACTTACATATTTCGTTCTTATTTGAAATGTCAAGGTTTTTTAACTCTATCTCTAATTGCGTTCTCCAAATCTCTGACTTAATTTGTGTATGTGCTCATCAGAAATGGCAACAGGAGTCCTGAATACCACCTGTGACAGTAGGTGCCAGCCAGGGGAAAATGTGGAAGCAGCCATGACCCCCTGTTTTCTTCCCTAAATCCTCTCAGTAAATCCCCAAATCCATGCCCTACCTCCATATTTCAAACTCACTGTCATGCCAGCACATTCATCCTAGAGTTCACTTTCTTCATCAGCTCCCACAGCCCAGTACTCCCTCCTCCCTGTCACATCTTCCCTACGTGCAGACTCAGTCCCACCTCACCAGCCCCGACCTGGGAGTATAGGACAGAAATCAGCTAGTTAGCATTAACTAGTCAGACTAGTACTAACTGCTTCTATGGAGGCTCCTGCCTTTCCACCTCAGCGTCTCCGTATACACAGATTTACTGTTCAGGCTCTAATGTCTGGAATATAAGCATCTTTATAAAGTCTGGCAGGAATGGCCTGTGCAGAAGTATTAAACTCTTAAATAAAGTAAACATTTCCACATAAATAGTTGGAAGCTGCTGCTGTATACTGCATTTGGGGAAACTGTCCCATAATATATAATTATATACAAACCTTTATAGAACTGACAAATTCATAAGCAGTGCAAATTCATAAGCAGCAGCAAACATTTAGAACAACGAGTAGAAGCTGGGCAAGAGTTCTTCTGCATAACATTTTTGCTCCAGAACTTGGTATAAAGTAAGAATTCCCACAGGAAAAAGTCCGTTTAAAGAGGTTAAATAGACTTTTGAGAAAAATATTTCAAAGCTATTTGAATGTTTTGTTTAGATTTTTTAATTCTGATTTTGAACAACTTTCTTTCAAAATGTAGATTTATTATATTTTAATATTTATATCTTAAACTTATGAACATTGAATCTAAGCTGTGGTATTTTGGAAGGCTGCTTAATCTGATGTTGTTTCTTTGCCCCTTCAAATTTTTTTTCAGTTCTCATCTGACACAGGGTATTATTTTTTTCCTGAAATGGCAGAAGTTTATCAAAATGAGAAAATGATTTATCTTTAACCACTAAAGAAAAGTTTAATAGGGAGAAGGAGATTGAGAGATATTCTAATAGTATGGACAGATATCTAAATAGATAGCAGGGGTTGGGTTATGGCTAAGTGTAATATTGCTGCTCAAGGGAATGCTAAGAAATGGAGTTGCGATCCCAAATACCCTTTATGGCTAATTTTCAGGTCCGAACAGTCGCTTCATAACCCCTCAACACCAGGAGCAGGTGTTTGAGGAGCTGCAGTTAAAAAAAAAAAAACAACTATATCCCCATGCAGCAACTCGTGAGTTTGCTGGAACCCAAGGGTGGAATTGGCTCTGCCATGGAAATATCTAGAGCAGAGTACTGTCTTGTTACACTCAAAAACTTTTCTTCAGAGAATATTTAAGTTAAAATTGTCTTGCAACTTTCCTTTCTCAGGGCAGTGATAACCTATCTTTAAGATCCGAAGAGAATTATTTACAGTTTCTACAGAATTAGCTATATGTAATCCTTGAGAACTAAAGAGCTCAAAATAATTGTTATCTGTGTTCATATTCCCTCTGCATTCAAAGAGAGGATTTTTACTGTGCTTCATCCAAATCATCGAGTAGAAAATTAAACTGCCTCTGATAATTTATGTTTACCATTTCTTCAAACACACAGTGAGAAGTTCCCTGGACACCAAGGAGTAATAGAAATATTTTATATTTTTGTGGCTAGGATAGAAGCTTCTACAAAAAACATGAAGGCTCCCCAGCATAAACTGTGACCTTGTTAGTCAATAATTTGTTTCCTATTGATGTCTGCCTTGATTTCATTACATAAAGACAGATCATCTATTTCATTTCATTCAATTGAGGTGACGTCAAGTCCTCACATCTGTTAATTTCTTTAAAACTTTACACTTTAGAGTTGGTTTGGGGATCTTTGTTAGGGGGTGGATAAATATCGTGTGTTGTATTAACCAAACTTCTTTTTCCTCTGTTTTCTCTTGGCAGTGTTTCAAATTATTTTTATCATAGTCCTATTACCTCAGACAGTGACTGTGTCAAAATTCACTGCTTAAGCAACATTTGGTCTGGCTGATATCCAAATGGAAGACCTTTTCAGAAGCCCTTACATTACTAGCAAAATGGCAAATATTTGTGTTTCAGTACATACTACTGTTTCAGTAAATAGCATGATTTCCCCCTGAGCTGATTTCAGGTTGAAGACATTGAAGCAGAGGGCTATTTTTTTTACAAACACAGGCAGGTCAAGCACAGAAAACCTCTTCTTTAATCATATCTCTCAAAATTCTGTTTGTTACTTCAACTGACTACAATGTGGTACCCTTTTTCGTAGGGCTGAGCCCTGTTCAGTACTGTGTCAAGAAGAGGTACTAAATACTTTACAAAATCTGTCATGTTGTTTATATCTGTGAAAAGACATAGAGTAGAAAGACACAGGTTACAGATAAAATCAAGTGTAAATAGAGTGAGATTAGAAGTGTTCCACAAATGAATACCCAGCCTCTTCCTTTGTATAGAACCAGGGTAAGGGTAAAACATACCACCAGCTATTTAAAAGACAAAGTGCATATTTTCTATAAATAAAATAACAGTGGTAAGTCAAAGTAAGGGAGCAAATTATTTAGTCAAATTAGTGAGCAAAATCCATCTTCTCCTTAACTTCACAGATGAAAAGAGAAAATTACAGGTTGCTATGAAGATCAGGAAATAATTATAAATATGCATTTGGTTTTAATTGAAAGTCTTCATGTAAATTCTGTCTTCCTACATCCTCTATCATTATCACTGCTGACAAAGGCATCCCAACTCAGGAAATATTTTTATAATAAGTTTCCTTTCTTTAGAGCTGCGGTTTCTGCCAACAGACACATGCACAAACTTGCAGATATTGATTTTGTTTATATAGCCTACTGTCATTACAAAGCAGTCTCCACACATCCATGTAATTCAAAAAGTTCCTAAAGGAAAGAAAGAGTATCTTCATTCAGCAGAGATATAGCTTGTTGCTACACTGTAAACCCCAGTATTCCTTATCTACCCCTCCACATATTTTATTTTCAAAGGCCTTTAAAAATATATTTCTCCGCTCCCAATAAGTATGGAAAACTCTGCTCCTGTCTTTGCTGAGTCCATAATGCCACTCCCCTTCCCACAGACTTGACTTCCAAAGAAGTCATGCTTCCTCCTAAGCTGTCCCTCCATCGCAATGCTGCCTCTTTTTCTAGGGTACTGAACTGTGATGTCTTTCAAAAACAAATGAAAATAAAGCAAAAGGAAATCCAGAATAACTAAACAATATTTAGGCAGCACTGGATTAGAATTACAACCTACCATCTTAATCTCAATATTTCCCTGTACTCTTTTGACTGCATCTGCTGTTGTCTCACTTAAAAACTCTCTAGGTCATGGACATTCCTCTTGTTTATGACAGTACGCCACCTACCACAATTATGATCATCATTTATCACCCAGTTTGCTATGTGTCCACACAATGCAAATTAAACAAACCACAATAAAGTGCCCTGGGCTGTTCTGAGTACTACAAGGATACATACTTAAAGTAGATCTTGTGATGGAGTATGTTTACACGCTGCCCCTCTATTTCTTCACAGCTAGATTAGATCATTTACTTAGAAAGCCATCAGGTCTACTAGCCTCAAGCTTTCCGATGTTCTTCAATCATCTGGAGGAGCTGGTTTCAAGACAGCACAGAATAGCAAACCAAAAAATATTCTTCCATCCATCCACGACATTTCTTTTCATTCTGGTTTCCGAAGCATAGGTCTGCTTCATGCAGCAGCAGCCTAAGGAAACGTTTGTCTAAGAATGCAATGCCGGAACTTTCCCAGTGTTTCTACCACTGAGATAATTGACATATGCAGGCCCTGAATTCACACTAGGACAGGTAGAGGGAGTTTAGCTGAAATCATGACCCCTTATCTAATTTTCCAGGAAAATGTTTGTAATACCAGCATATGAATACGATAGACAGAAAGAGTGATTTTCTTATCAGTCTCTAAAAAAAACTCATTTAAGTTTCACTTTCTGCAGACAAAGTCTGTCAATCTGACAGAGACGATGAAAACCACAGGTTCTGCAGTTTTCCAGAAACTTCAGCCTTCAAATTATTAATGAAGAACAGTGTTTAGTCTAGAATAGAGAATAACAGATTCATTTCCCTTTTATCAAAAGCAAAGACGTAAACATCAGTAAACTCCTCTAGTAAATTTAGATGATTGAGTCCAGTGTCCAGTATTAACAGGAAATACATATTTTAGCCCTTGCCAGGGACCTAATTCTAGCAGAGTGCATCCATATTACTCTGATTTATCTTGAGTTTTGTTTTAATACTGGAGCTGAAGAGGAGAGGTTGGTAGCATGGCTGTATTATAAAGCTTCTGATGTCTCTGTGTTGCAGTGCTGCTTTTCTGCATTCTAGAGTCGTTTATCAAGATCATATCCATAATAGCTGTTATTATGTCATTGCATTAAGATTTCAAACACAGAAAGATATCGTTTAGTCTGACAATGTAAAGGGATCAAAATATATCTACTTATCAAGCATGGAAGCACGGCTTTCTGGTCAATATTTGTTAAAAATATTAATACAGTGTTGAGTTGTCATCCACATCACTGAACTAGAATGAAATTTCAGATAGGGCCAAATCCCTTTTTCCTTATATGGGTAGTTCTGTTAACTCAGCTCCAGTTGCATCATTAAGAGAAGAACAAATTATCTAGTTGAGAAGAATGAAAAATCA